ATCTGATAGATTTTCTATATATGCAATGTCTAATGCCTGCTTTATAACTGGTTTTATACCTATTCACTGTTTCATTTGTTTATCAGTTCATTTATCTTAATCTATGAAAGATTAAAGGTTGTCTCAACACTAACTTGGGCCATTTTCAATGATTAAATTAGTTTACCTTTTTTTTTTTAGAAGAATAATTTTAAAAAACAGGTTAGATTCAATTGATCCTGTGTCTTGTATTCTTAAGTTGTCCTACATTTATTCCAAAGGCATTTTTTAAGTTTAAGATCAAAAGCTAAAAACAAATCATTAGTTTTAAATTTATTTTAAAGAAACGACATCAAAAATGTTTTCAGGACTAGAAATTCTGTTTCTCCAAAGTGCTAAAAAAAGTCATTGAATTATAAGCAGCACTCGAACTATTGTAATGCTCATTATTACATAGATCCTGCAGAATTCTCTTTTAAAAAATACAGCATATTTCTCTCAACCCATTACTTGTATAGCACATAGTGTTATTTTATTATTATTTGGGCATCTAGAATGTGTTAGACATTTTCTTTTATATTTTCTAATCACAGCAGTAATCAAAGAGTTCAACTCAGAGGGTTTTTTTTCCCCCATAAGTTAATGAAAGAGTTGATAAGTCACTGCAAGAGCTCAAACCTCAGCCCTGTTATTTATTAGTTAACTTCTATAAAAGTCAACTTCCTTATCATTAAATTGGGATAATAATAGTATATTTATGTCATAGGGTAATTGTGGGTGTTAAGGGCAGAATATATGTGAAGTATTTAGCATAGTGTTTATCACAAGGTAAGGGCTAATATATGTAAATGATTATTATATAATAAAATATTCATACAACATTAACTCTATCATTTTAGGTTAATTCATTACAGGCCATAAACATTCAATCATTAGGCTTTTAGGAGTCAAAAGATGATATTCTTAATTTTTAATTTCTTATATGATAATGTAAAATAATGTACATCTATTCTTTCTATATTTGTTTATCACCACAGATGCTCATATCTGCCATACATATCAATTTTGGGAACGTTTGAATATTCACTCACCCACTGATGCTTGAGTTAGACTTTGTTGAAAATGAAAGTATTGTGTCAACACATTTTAAATATTTGTTTAGGATTCAATTACACAGAATGATGATAAGTACTATATAATGTTAGGTTAAAAATAACAATCATGTTATAGATGAAAATCCTTCCTACTTTTAGGCAATTTTACTATCTTCTCATCTTTTATTTCGCTTATTAACATATTTTTTCAAAATAAATATACATCGACTGGTGTTTTATCTTATTTCTGTATGACACAAGTAAACAACTTTGTCAAGAGAAGAAAAAACCAAAACTTACTCTATTAGTTTCTCTTATTCAGATGACAATTGATAGTGTTTCACATGCAGTGGAAATGCTCTACATAAAGGGTCAAAGTACATTTTCACCCTTAAGAATTAACCCCGCCACCCTATATGTGAAGTTTTAGAAAAATATTAATACATACACTCCAGGCTCTCACCATAGAACAGTACATTGCACTCTTTGAGCCAGCGAAAGTTGTGCCCACTGAAGGCTGTGCAGAAGGAATGTTTAATTAGGAAACAGTCAATGTAGCAGCTTTCTACTCAGAGAGCATCAGAATCCCCTGAAGAATTTTTTTAAGTACAGATATCTGTGCTCTACATCACACTTAATAAATCAGAATTTCTAAAGGGTATTATCCCCATATTTGTGCCCAAGAAAAGAACCCCAGGTGAATAAATTGACCAGTCGGGTTTGGGAGTTTCATGTCAAAGGCAAACTATATTCATCTAATCACCTAGGTCTGTGATTTCAAAGCTTATTTGTTTGGTTATTTAGCAAAGCTGTTTAGCAATGCAGTTTTCTTCTGGGTACTTTTATGTAGAAACAAGTTAGTCAGATTAAAGAAGACTTCCTCTGGATGAATAATGATTTGCGATCTGGAGCATCAAAAGCTCCCACGTCATCTTTATTTCTTAGTGGATTCTGGGGCCCTCTAGAGTCCTCAGGATCGATGGAACACAATTGCAAATCCATACATAGCCCATGATTTTAGATGTAATGATTCAGCTTTGAATTAACCAAGATCGCCAGAAGCCTGTATGTGTGCAGCACCTAAGTATTTTCCTTGTAAGATCACTACCCTGACAGAGGCATTACTGTTGTAGCCTCAAATTACATCAGACTTCACCATGGAAACAGACATTCGGATTTCACTTCTGCATTTGCAATACAACTGTTGTTGAGGTACGGTCTGATGTATCACCCAATGGACCCTTCACAAAATCCCAACCAAGAAATTTCCCTTTGTACTTAATACGTGGAAAATCAGTATTGTCTGTGAAAATGTGGGTCATTTCTGTCTTTCTGGTCAATGACTCTCAGTTTGGGAATAGGGAAAATGTGGGGTTTTTTTGAGAAACTATGTTGCACATGCAATCTCTAACCTCAAGAAACTCAATCTAATGGGAGACAGACTCTAAGAAAGTTAATTTTAAAACAATGCAATAAATTCAATGCTAGAGATATGCATGGGTTGCTATGGAAACAAGGAGATAAGTTCTATAAGTAATTACATTTCCATTTTTGCCTTAGCTACGGGAAGATAAGAGCTCAATTCTGTGCTCAATTTCAACAACATCAACATTTGTCAGAGGCATGTTTGCTTCTTCTTTTCCCCCAATCTTACTTTATCCATTTTATACTTTTTAATTTGTCATACTAAATGCCTTGTTTCTGTTAAATAAAAAACAAGGCTAATTGTGCTAAAAACACACAATTTACAAAATTTCTTACCAGATATTAGTTGCTTTTTTAAGCATTGTTTTAAAATTACGGGATAATAAGACCAAATCATGAGTATTTAGTAGTGATATCATATTCCATAAACACGTGTGTACTCTAAATAAAAGAGTGTTAAAAGATAGGAAAAATAAGAGTTGAAAAGTAAATGTGAGCATTATGTATAATTTATATAATCTGTTTAGTGGTAGAGTGACCAGTGAAGTGACCCATAACTTCATTTCTTTAAGAGGTGCACATCTATTGATATAATAAAGGCTCATTGGTTTTTATTATGGATCTTGCTGAATTTTAAAGAGCCACCTAGCTAATCGAATGACAAGCACATTTGCTCATCCAGATTCTAATTTGCATAAAGCTCACTGTCTCAGCACTATTGCAACAAGCCTACTGCTGACTTGTGGACAAGACTGGGCAAGATTACATTAAAGACACAAAGTCATAGTATGTGTTGCTTTATATTAATAGATAAGAAATAGATGCTGCTTTCTCATAGAGAGGCATGTGGTCTGAGTGACATTTCCTTTGATGGGTTTAGCTCTATCTACACTGGTGTCTACTAATGCTATATAGTCCCCTTCCTAGGGAGTTTGGAAAATAGATCTAACTGATCCAAACAAATATAGATCCTCTACTATGGATTTCAGTTTTGGGGGTGCTACTTTGGCCAGCTGAGTTTCCTAGTGGCCTCAGCTTAACCACAGACGTTGACTTTGCCTTTCTTCCCTCAGATTTTGTTTTACAAAGTAGTAAAAATAATATGAATAATAATATGCATTTTCATATTTAAGTTCGTTCTCCTTTCTCTAAAGTCAAATATCTACAGGAGGATAGCTCTATAAAGTTATAGATATAATAAATATTAATTGAGGTTCCATCTCTGTCATTTACTGAGTAATCTCTTACAAGATACTCAACCTCTTCGTGCTTCAGTTTTCTTATCTGGAAAATGGAGAATCTAACAATACTTATTGAGGAAATTAAATACATTTTTTAATAGTGAAATGCTTAGAACAATGTGTTCAAACCTTAAATGCTATTAAAGGTCTATCATTTTTGTTGGTAGTCATGCTATGCTATTATTATATTATGTTTATTAAAAATAATACCAAAATGAATCAGGGATATGTGTGAATAATTTGTCCTGGCTTATGTTCCAGCTGAATGACAAAGCCTTTTAGTTAATTCCAAAATTCCCTGCTCTGTGCATTCTATCTTGTTAATCTAACATTCAGCCAAAGGTTTTATAGAATTTTTTTTCAGTAACTCAGAGTAGTTTCAAAATAATTTACAGCATTTGATGAGCTGGTAGGTGTTTTCTTTTGTGATAATGAGAATTGTTTAAATAGTGGTGTCTCTATTTCTTCAAAAATAAACTAGAATTTCATTGCAACAGCCATATGACATTTATGGTTGGGCTGGCATACAAGTTTCTTTCCCAGACTTGTATTTTCTACTCTCACTCTGATTCTGTATTCCTAGTTCTATTTTAATGTGTGTATCCTTACGTATGCTGCCTCAAATACTTTGTGGAAGAAAGGTATTAATAATAATAAATAACCTTTTTTTTATTTTACTCAAACACCCTATGTTACCTATGAAAATAAATAAATCCATAGATGGTTATCCTTGTAAATCTCTCTGCAAACTATTTTGAATTATGCCTTCTCTCTGTCTTGGCAGGGCCCATGATGTATATTTTAAGCAAACGTTCAATGAATGGAAGAGAAGTAGATGATAAAAACAGATCACAAAAACAAAATGTTGAATAAATCAAATGCTGCAAAATCACTTCTTGATTATATGAGTTGGTTGTTAATGTTGATATAAAGTATGACATCATAAAGGAATTTCAAAATAATAAAAATAATTTGATAATCAAAGCCAAATACTATATAATATTTACATTCTAGTTGTAAAAGTAAAACTTTGTGTATACTTCCCCCTTCACCATTTGCAAGTAATCATGCCTGCAAAAAGTGCCATGAGATTTCAAGAGCCATGAAATCAACTCTTCAAGAACTCATCTCTTCATTAGCTTCCATGCACCAGTGACTGCTTTCCCAGCAGTAGAACTGCTGAGGGTAAAGGGCTGCTGTATGCTCAGGCTGGCTGTTCATTGATGTGACAAGTGCCAAATTTCCCAAATAAATTTCTTACCCAGGATACTATATTACACGAGTTCCTCTCCAAAACAAGTGATGCCTATGGACTTCTTTCTGCAATAGCACTAGATCTCTTGCTACAATCTACAAAAATAAAGGAAGAAAGAAAAAATACTATATTAAAAATGGAACTTTACATCTCTAAGGTCTGCTTCTATTCTCAAAGCCTATACATACAACAGTCCTGGTTTTATTATCCCCCTCTCGTATCCCTGCAAAAGTATCCAGATGTAAATAGTCCTTGAAGTAGCTTAAGCTTGTATGGGTTTTATTAATATTACAAAGGGCACATTCACACATACACAAGTCTGATGGAAAATGCCCTCTGATGCTCAATCCCTGAGACAATTTCCAGGTCACCAACATGAAAAGAGGTTTGAAAGTTGCTGTGAAAATGAGGCAGAACATTAAATTACCATTCATTCATTTGTTCATTATTTGCCAGATATAGGTGTTGGGGATACATAAATGAACAAAGCAAAAAACTCTGCCACCATGGACATTCCTTTCTCATTGGGGGATAGATGGATGAGTGGATGGATGGATAGATAGATAGATAGATAGATAGATAGATAGATAGTAGTTTATCAAACAATGGTAGGTACATTGGAGATAAATAGGGTATGAAAAGAGGTTGCTACAGGAAAAAGGTCATGATTGTGTGATATTTGAATAGGAATCTGAAAGAAGTGAGGCAGCCTCACATGCAGATATTTAGAGGAGGAACACTGAGGAAGAAGCAACAGTGAGTTAAAGGCCCTGGTCCAACCTGGCATCCCTATGAATATCAGAGAGTGAGCAAAAGGCAGAGTAGTGGAGGTTGAAGTCAGAGAAGTAAAGGGTGAGCCTGATTAGCTACTATGACAGATGTGGCCATTGATCTGAAGGAAAAAAGTAATCACTGAGGGGTTTTGAGCAGGAGAGTAAAATAATCTGATACATTTTTAAAGGGATAGGTTGCTTGCTGTGTGAGAAAAGAGTGTAGGAAGAAGCAGAAAGGCCAGATAGGAGGACATTGCAACAATGCAGGCAAGAGATGACAGCACCATGGTCCAGGGTGGTAGCAGTAGAGCAGAAGTGGTAAAATTCTGGATATTTATGACAGGTAAGCCTTAAGGATTTTTGATAGATTGGGTATGACATGTGACAGAAAGAGAGGCACAAAGTTGGCATCCTAGATGTGGGGTCTAAAGGGTGGGAGTTGCCAATGACTGCGCTTAGAAAGCGTGGGCGGGGCGTCAGCCCCAGCGGGGGAAAGATCATGAATTGGGTTATGCACATGCTAATTCTCAGAACTGTAAATGTATTAACTTTGAGTTCAAAATGCCAATATTGGTTTTGTAAATGATATCATCACCTTAATGAATCATATTTCCCAATTTGCTTTTTCCGGATTCTTACTCTCAAGAGCTCATTAGAAACTACTGACAGTTAGGAAAGCTCATATGCAAAATATGTCAATAACACTTAATGTAATTTATCCAGAGCATAGTTTTTAATTGTATTTAGAGCAATAATGTCCTTTTTAAAAGCCCTTCTCTCATTTTGATCTCCAATTTCTCCTTGTCAGTGTTTGTTTTTCCTTCTTTGCCTGTGACCAATTCTGCCTTCACGTTTCTCTCAGTTTTATTAAACTTTAAACAGGTGTCTTTCTGACTCTACATCCCAACCTACCTTTTCTTTTTTTTCTTTTTTATTAAAAAACAACTTTATTTAGACATACTTCACAAGCTATACGTTTTACCCATTTAAAGTGTATAAATCCAATAGAGCAGTTACTTTAGAAAACTTTCCATTGTTAATTCTTTCTCTGCCCCTTTCAGATGTAAATCTTCTCTCAGACTCCTAACAGTTTAACAGCCCAGAAATGTCTTTCTCAAATACCTGGGAGCTATCTCTTTCAAATGTAATCATCAAGAAAGATAGAGCCCCTTCCTCCCAGTCCCTGGAAGTGTAAGAACCTAAACTGATAACCAACAGTTAACAAACACAGATGGACTTTACATCTATCAACTTCCTCCTTAATCTCCTCCAGTACTTTTCCATTAGTTCACTCCAGCCTTTAAAAATCCTCTTGCCTTTTGTTTCAGCAGAGTTGAATTCTATCTCTCTTCTCTATTACAACAGTCCTGAACAAAGTCTTTCTTGTCTTTTTAACTGCATCTGCTGGAATTTTCCTTGACACCTGAAGTATCTTGATAGAAGATAAAATAAAATACAGGTCAAAGGCTCTGTCCTCTTCTGTTATCTGTGGAGGAATCCACAAAACATCAGCAAATCCATTGGCCCCAGCACACTGCATCTCAGCCTGTACTTCTAGTACTCATTTATCCTTAAAATTTGCTCTGAATAGGTTCCGACAGAAGATAATGTGATATGATTAGCAACAGAGTGGAAGGTTTCGGGTACAACAAATATTCCAGTTTCTGAATTTCCCTTTTCTCTACAGCTAGATAGAATGAGAAAAGTAGTCAACTATCTCCCAATTAAATATCCATTGACTATTTACATTGTTTACATAGTTTTACCATAGATTTTTATTTCATTAATTTTATAAAGACATAGAGACTCCCTAAAAATTGGACAGAGTGTGATAAAATGGTGCTGTAGCTACTTCTGTAGATTATAGACAATGATAATAAGAGCTGCCATATATTAAGGTTTCTTTCTTTCCCGGCCATGTACTAAGCACTTTACACATATTAACACATTTAATGCTCATGAAACCATGTGAAATCGATATTATCATTCCCCCCATATTACAAATGATGAAATTTGAATAATGCAAATAACTTGCTTAGGATTACACAGTTAGAAAGTGGTCTTTTGTAATAGTACTCACCAACTTCTTTTATATCCAGTGTTCTTGCACAGAACTGCTGCATTTCAAACTTTGACTTGCCAATTATTAAATTTTCCGTGGGAGGTACTTAACCCTCTGAAGTCTCAGTTCCTTTATCTGTAAAGGTGTATAGGAAATGCCACACGGGTTTTTGTAGACTTAAAGGAGTTCATGCATATTAAGTCTCTAGCACAGTACTTAACCAAAATAAACAACTAGGATTGTATTTAACTTTTCAGTATTTTGGTTTACTAAGTACATTTATTCTAAAGTGCTATGATATTATCTCATAAGACATTACAGATCCAAGAATTGCTCACTGGTACATTATTATTACCCATCATTCTGACTCTCATTAGCCAGGAATGGATATTATCACACATAGAAATATCTATGATAATATTTGAGTCAAAAAACATGTAGAAACCTAAACAAGAGAACTAAGAATTTTTGAAAATTAATTTCTTTTTCTGATAATGCAGTCAAGAGACAGTCCAGATGCAGCTGAGAAATTGCAGTGGGAAGATTGGGACTGAAAGTCAGACATGATCTACTAGGTGACAAAACAGTGTCACCACATTTGTGATTCCTGTTTTCCTGAACGAAAATGGAAAATATACCTGCATGAATCAATGAGGAGATTTCCCACTAACATTGCTGAATTCCCCATTGCTGGGCCTGAAGTTAGCTCAAATTTGAAGCTTCAGAAATGCTAAGAACTAGAAAAAAGTTTGTTCTCTTAGCAAACATCAAGCTATGTGCTGATATGTCAATTCCAGTTTTCTAAAGCATATTATTTACTTTCCTCTTCCTTTCTGAGTGTAGCTCATTTCAAAGCAAGTACTTCTGGCTTTCAACAGTGCTAAAATGTCATTCTGAGTGGAAGGGGGACAATATCATTTTAAATAACATGAATATTACATCAGGACCACTTTGCATAAGATGGGTTTTTCTCAAAGCCTTCTTTTCATTTGCTCAGAAACTAAATATATATTTAATTATTTTACATCTGCAAGCTACTTCAATAATTAGATGCCCTTTCTTTGATTCTTTAATGTAGGAGATACTTGAAACTCAGCTGCTGTTAAATAGTGCTCTATCTGCCTCCTGTCTGATTATTCTCAGAAGCAACGGGTTATCACTGATCCAACAGAGATCTGTTCCCTGTCTATTATTCAAAAAAACCCTCGTCTATAAAATAAGCTTGAGAAGTATCTTTCAATAACTTCAAAACAAATATACAGCTGTTAAAATAAACCTGCTCATATATACACACATATGTACTCATATCAAGAGTGGAAGGAAGTAAGGAAAATGAGGACAGTATCTACTCTATTATTTATACCTTATTCTACTGCTTATATATATCCTTTACATCAGCTGTGCTTTCTGAGAACTTTGGCTTCAAGACATTAATTTATTGGTTTGGCACACCCCTCCACACACACACACCCCTTATATGTACACCCACATATATATATTTTTTCACACATTTGTTTTATATGTGTTTATATATGATTTATATATATAATGTATACACATTATTTGTATATATATCTAATTTTTCAAATATATGCCCCAAATATCTCTTTTTATTTATGAAATTAACTTCATGATCAAGTGTGCAATGAAGAAAACATAACGTAATTTGTTGGTTAGCAAAATAGCCACTTTGGACTCTGAGTGATCTCAAATAGAGTCTCTGCTCTGACTTTCAACTGGCTGTGTGACTTTGAGAAAGTCACTTCACCTCTTTCAGCCTATTTTCCTCATCGAAATACGAATAATAGAATCTATCAGACATGGTTATGGGGAGGATTAAATGAGGTGTGATAAACAGATTACTAGCAAATAATAGAATTCAATGAATAGAAGTGAACTAAAAAAAAAAAAAAGAACCTTAATCCCACACTCATTAATAGTTACTGTTACTATTTGGAGATTGATTTGACAAAGCTGTTGGCTTTCAGTTATTAATATAGGGGACAGGATATAATCATTAAATATATTGAACTTCTAATTTGTTGCTACAAATATAAGGACTGTTGACTTTCTATATAGAAGTGACTGGAAAAGCCTTAAGGCCTAACAGAGGTTTCTTCCAGGACCAGGGAGAGAACTAGGCCATGGATCAAGTGTGAAGAGACATTGGGAGAAAGAATCAAGTTGTTTTTGTTTGTACCTTATCCAGTCTGCTCAGTCTGCTCATTCTATAAGCCATTTTCTTACCATCTTCTC